CCTCCCTACCTCCCCACCTACACTCACCCTTTACTGGCTCCATCCCCACCTCTTTGACCTGTCTGTCTCCTATCCACCTATCTTCTCTTCTATCCATCTTCTACTCGCCTCCCACTCTCTCCCTATTTATTTCAGAACCCCCTTCCCCTCCCCCATTTCTGATGAAGGGTCTAGGCCTGAAACGTCAGCCTACCTGCTCCTATGATGCTGCTTGACCTGCTGTGTTCATCCAGCTCTACACCTTGTTATGTCAATCCTTTATCCCCATTACCATCAGGATAGATTACCTGAAGGTGCTTGGAATATGGTTCAGGAGGGGCTGGGGGCATGTGCAGAATCTTGGGGGGAGCATATCGCCAAGGTGAAGCAGAATCTGAGCAAACAGAAACTGTAAAACCCCAGACAATAAGGTGCAGAGCTGGATGAACACAGCAGACCAAGCAGCATCATAGGAGCAGGAAGGCTGATGTTTCGGGCCTCGACCCTTCATCAGAAATGCACCCTGTTGTCTTGGATTCTGCAGCATCTGCAGTTCCTACTATCTCTGTAAAACCCCATCTGGTTTCGTAATCTGGTTTAGGGAAGGAAATCTGATGTCCTTACCTGGTCTGGGATAGTAGGAACTGCAGATGGTGGAGAATCCGAGACAACAAGGTGCAGAGCTGAATGAACACAGCAGGCCAAGCAGCATCATAGGAGCAGGAAAGCTCTGCAACCTTGTTGTCTCCTTACCTGGTCTGGCCTCCAGACCCACAGCAATGTGATCAACCCTTAACTATTTCAATGATACTGCTGGTCAATTTGGCTGAGTCAATGTACCTGATGTCTTTCCAGTGATGAGACACCCCCTGCACAAAACAATAAAGAGAAAAATTAAGAATCTACTGGAATGGGCCTTAGCCACATTCAGTAACTCTGCCTCCATTGTTCTGTGAGATAATCCCCAGGCCCTCATGAATAGGAGACCTCTATTTGCAAAGATATGACCTTCTGCTTCTGGCCTGATATGGCAATGGGACTCAAACTCCCAGGGTCTTTCCATGCGGCCCTGCGTGACGTCCCTGGTTAATTACTGCAACATTTCGTGTCCAATGGCAGGCTGGTTCCTGGACCACGTGTGCCCACAGTCCAATAGGAAGGGGGAGCTGGCAGAGGCGGCACCACCCCCTTTATAAGCTTTGTTGCGAGGCGCCTGGAGTTACACGGACAGTGCAGTTACGCTGTGGAGCAGTGTTTGCTGTGCTTTACTCGGGTTTTCTCTTGTGTGATTTTTATTTTTTAAAAAGGCCTGACAATGAGGGAGATCGTGCACGTACAAGCCGGGCAGTGCGGCAATCAGATCGGTGCCAAGGTAAAAGAAAAACACAACAAAACCTAGAGGTTTTTTTTTTGCAATTTGTGGTCAATTTCCAACCGAAGTAGCGTTACGATGAACGGACTCGTGCTCTGGTCTAGGATGGAGGGAGGTGGAGGTGGAGGTGGGGGGGTGGCGGTGTGTGTAATCTCGATCATTTTAGCAGCGAATACAGAGCGATCAATGATAATTTTTCGTTTGAGCAAATGAATGCATTTTCGATTGAACTCCATGTGGGTTGGTGAGATGTAAATGCTGCAGGAATTTGATGAAAGTCAGTTCTGGTCAATGCTCTCTCCGACTTGTCCACATGCCCTTAAAGAGGGATTAGGCAAGGAATCCTTTGGCAATGAAATTAGCCCGTCTTGTCTTCTTGACATGCGAATTTAAGCGCGATTTCTATTCTTGGTCCACACACGGCTGATTTGCTCGTTTTTTTTTAATATAGCGTAGGTTTTAATTAGCGCATAAATCCTTTAAAAGGAGGGGGGGGCTGCGTAAAGGATATTTGTGAGATTGAGGGAGCTGCAAGAGAAAAACGCTTCCTTTAAGATTACGTTCTGATTAGTCCGTGACCTTTCCATAATGCTGCATTGAACCTGCTGAGTGGGTAAGGCTCTGTAATGTGATTATACAATGTTACACGCCGTTTACCACAAATAACGGATTGAGCAGGTTGCTATCTGTGGGATTGTTACAAAGAGAAATCTCAATGTTACAAGGGGTTGATGCTAGTTTCTAATCGGTGATTTTTTTTTTTCTTTCCCAAAAAACAGTGAAATTTTTCATTGGCGCTGGAATTCAGAGACTGGAGGGGGTGGGGGTGGTAGTAGTAGCGGAGAGAAATTGATCTTTTTTCAGGGGGTCCAGAGGCTTGGGGGAATAAGTAAGGTCTGGTGGGGGAAGGGAACTGAGGTCAGTTGTTGGGATCCAACAGTGTTGGTCTCTGTAGACTGGATTCCTGGTTTGTGGGGGGTGGAATCTGAGCTTTTTTTTGTCTAACTGCCATGAACCGAGCTCCTATTGGGCGGAGTGTCTTGGAGGGAAATTGTAGAGGCGCCAAAAACCGAGCTAGCCAATGGGCTGAGGGAGGTGAGGCGCCAAACGGCTCTTTCTCTCTCCTTTTTTTTTGAATTCAAATTTTTTTTGAGAAATTCACTTCCCCGCCGTTTGACTCCCCCACCCAGCCAGCCAGCCCATTTCCAGCCTGTAGCGAATAGAGTGCAGCTCTGGCCTCTTCATTGAGCTCGATGTGAGCAGTTACTGTGGGAATCAGGGAGATACAATGCTGCATTCCGAAAGTTAACGTGTAACCAACTAGGTTCAACTGGTAATAAAATGAACCACAGGATTTCTCAGGCCAGGTTCAAATCTGGGACCTGTCCCAGCTAATACAGTTGGCTGGGATTCTGCGTTTATTTACACTCCACGGAAAATACCTATAATTATGAATCAAAACTTTGCCTTCATAAGGAACTGCAGATGCTGTAAATCGGGGATAAACACCGGTCTGGAAGCATCTGTGAAGAAGAAAAATCAGTTAAATGTTTCGAGTCTGGTGACCCTTTTCTGAAGAAGACCTGCTGAGCTTCCAGTATTTTGTTCCTTGCCTGCCTTCAGCTGATTAGGAAGGGAGCGGAGTTCCTGGTCTGTTCTGGGACAAACTCAGCTCCGGGTTTCCAGCTCCTGCTACACTGTAACACTGGCCTCATGTCGCCAGCTCCGGGTCATCCTGACCGTCCCTGCAGGTTACTGTTGTCTTCAATCTCAATCTTTCCGCCCCGCTTCAACCGGAGGGACGTGCTTTTAGGTCCTCGGAGGCTGTTCGGCCCGTCGCTTCAATACTGCCTCTTTGACAGGAAGATCCGTTTAGTCCCCTTGACCTCATCCACACACACACACACTTTTTGTCCAGTATCTAATCCATTTTCGTGTTGAGTAATGAATGACGAGTCCAGGCAAACCTTTCCAAGTGACTTTTATTTTTAAAAGTCCACATTCGATTCTCTTTCCCATCTATTTCCGCGAGGGGAAGCTTGGGTTGTGATCGTGGCTGGGGAAAGGGTTAAGGTGCTATCTGCTCTGTTCTGTTGTTGTTGTTGTAAACAGATGTGCAGGACCACATGGTCTTCACCTTTCTCTGGATTGATCTGCCCACCTATTTCTTCTCTCTAACAGACTGCTGGGGCAGCCAGGACGCTGCAGGGAGTTGGCACTTGCAGGGCAGAGTGGGCTGAGCCCCCCCCTCCCTTCAGAATCCACTGGCTGCAATGATCTTATTGTCCATCGTGAGCTGCAACATCTTTCCCACACTCTCCCCTCCCCAGCACCGTTTCAGTACTGAACAGAAGTAATTTTCATTAAAAAGATGATGTTTGAGGCTACTGCCTCACTAGTAATCCTGTGACCTCTGCTGAGGGCACTATTCAAATGTAGCTCATCTGTGTCTTGCGGGCTTGTGAGCACATGCCAATGATACAGGGCTTGAAGTCCACTTGTGCTAATATTGTTAGAGGATGTGCCCCCCGCAGGCAAGGGACATGTGCATCGCCAGGAAATAATGGGTCACGATAAAACACCTTTTTGCTTCCTATAAATCAACGACAAAGTGAGAATTAAGTACTGAAGCGATACAGTATGTAACAATAGGACAAAATAGTTTGAGCCACATACAATTCAGGCGATTATTTACTGTTCATCAATAGGCGAGATCAGTAGCTACATCCTGGGCTAACACATGCAAATAACTTCTGTAGTCGCACCTTTTGTGAAGACGTTAGCAAATTAAAATATACAAATTTCCATTTTGAATAAACTTTTCCTGCCTGTTACACTCTGCATTCAACATGTATCCCATTGTCCTGAACTGTTCTAATTCCCATTTAACCTTTTTTCTGAATTGTTCCAACAGGTTTGCTCTTTGTCTGGTTTCATATGTGGCATCTTTCATTTATGTCTAATATAATCATTGCACTCCCCCAAGCTGTTTGCTCAATTTGTACAAAAAAATTTAAATCCCCCACATGTTTCTCTCATGGTTTTGATTCCAATCCAGTAGTTGTGGTTCGGTTTGAGGGTTCTGCTGTGATTGGTGCCTTTCACCACTGAGTAATTATCAACTTTAAAAACTAGTCAAATGGTTTTCCGACCAGGATTCCCTGAAGCCCAAGAGTCCTGAACTCATCCCTAAACAATTCAGGGCACTTGAAAATTAAACCAAATTTTCCAAGTAGTCTTGTTCATCAATTTAATGAAAAGTTGAGTGAAAGCTTTGCATTTGTATTAATTCTTTCAATTGCACTTTGTTTTGTTTTTACTTTTGACTGTATTTTTTCCTGAGATTTGATATTCTTGTGATAGGGTCCTGATGGGTGAAAGAGGAATCTCTACAACAATCTCTCTTTTTTTCAGGAATGTATATATTAGAAATAATGATCAAGTCTGACCAGTTACTCTGGTTGTTGTTTGGTCTCGCATCTTCAATTTAGTGCTAAACTTGTGTATAATGCAACAAGAACACTGAGTTCTTGTACAGCCAGCACTGACATGATGGGCCGAACAGCCCCCTTCTGTGCTGTGAATTTCTGAGATTCTATGGGCTGCAAGGTTGGTGCGTCAATGGCTGTCCTTTGGATGTTGACTATTTGGGGCATTGTGTGGGGAAGGAGTACTGAACCATAAATTGTTGCTTCTTGGGTCAGTTTTCCAGAATGGAGAGTGGCCTGCTTTGGGTAAAACATCTGAAACAGCCATTGCAACAGGGTTACTGTGAGGCTGGTTGCTTGGGTTTGGGATATATGGGAATGGTGATGGTTGAGTTGGCCAGTAGTCACTTGTAACCCCTCAGTGCGGACCTTTCATTGTCTTGGACTGATTGTGACCCCTATGGTTCAAGCAGATGGTGGTGGGAGTGTGCCATCCCTCCCTCTGTGAAATGTCTTTCCGATCAGAGGCAGTGTTAAGCCTGGAAACAGGATCAGGAGCTGGCATGCTCATTGAAAGGCTGCCCTCTAATTTGAGAAAACTGAGATCAGCATGTCTCTCTCTCATAGCCTTGCTCCCAATCTATCCTGAATTCCTACAGATGCAGAAATGATTTTGCTGTAATTAATACTGCAAAGATTTATCTTTAATTAAAAATGCGTAAGGGATCATTCTTATGCCTTTTCAGTAACGCTACCAGATTGCTGTATTGTGGTGTTTGGACCATTTTCAATCCTTTTTAAAGAACAGAGCATTGATTAAAGAGCATCTCTCCCTGATCTGAACACTTCCGCCTGTCACTCCCTTCGCTGTCCTGACTGTGTCTTTGTTTAGTGAAGCAGAGAGCTTTTTGCACAGTCATCACGTTTTCTAGTATTGAATAGATAATCCCACCCAACACAGGACTTGGCTTTAAGAGTGGGACAGGCCTCTGCCTTGTGCCTATTATCTGCTAAGTTGGCACATCTCAATCCTGGGATAGCAGGATACAATGCTCACGAGCTGGCACTGGTGGCAAACCATCTGCGGCTCATGTAGCTGATTGCTATCCAGTCAGTTTTTTTTCAACAGTATGGCCAGAGGCCCTTTGGCCCATCATGTCCATGCTAGTCATATCACAATCTATTTGTACCCCAGTGAGCCTGGCTATGTGAGAGATTTGGGTTTATGCTTTATATCTGTGTCTCAGCAGTTCAGAACTTTGGCTGGAAAGGGATGTGATAAATGAGGGAAATATCCACCTTCAGGGTGAATGAGGGCCAAGCTTGAGGGAGTGAAGGGTCAAGCGAGAACTCTTGGGGTTTGGTGAGCTGATGATAAATCTTGTGTAGAAGATAGAATATGGGAGGCTGTGTCTGAGAGATTGCATATGGATGTGCTTTGGTACACTCTACAATTTGGACATGGTGTCTGAGACTGGGAGGTGTAACATTTATTTGTTAAACCCCTTAAATGTCTAAATGGCGAAATGTGCGATGGGAGGACTGGGGATAGAGAAAAGGGGCTTGGCAGCAGGTTTGTGGCAGTGTCCATCTCCAGACCCCTGCCGAATTTCTGTGGCGTCCTGTCCGTGCCCATCCCACTGCCTGCAAGGCTCCTGTGCTAAAGTTCAGCTGCAAGGCTAGGAGGTAGCTTGCCTGAGGGATTCTGCACAAGGGCACAGGGACTGGATGGGGAAGCAAACAAGAACAAAGTCGGATTGTCTCGTGTGCTTTCCCCTTTTTTCAAATTCAGCAATTTGGCACTTGGCAAAAAAGAATGCAGTCAGTCACATTGTGCCTGTGTCTATTTCCCGAGCTGATGTCATAGCTTTGAAATCATCACTTGAGCAGTTTAATTGAGATTATATGTCCCCTCTGAGGATAAGAGACCGCTATAAAAAAGAACCTTTTTTCCTTTTGAATGTGATATATCTCCTATGATTTTTTGATCGGGATTTCACCCTGCTGTTTTCTTGTGCAGGAATGCAGTACCCAGCCGAATGGATGAGGATTTTTTCCTCTTTTGTCTCTGTTCTTTTGTCCTTCAACCTCCTGTCTGATGGGGGAGTGAGTGAGTGGCTGGTTAGGGTGGGGCATCTAGTCTGGAGTTTGCTGCAAATGCGTCCTCCTGCTGACTGCCTGTCTCCCCTCCTCCACTGCAAATGCTAACACTCAATGTGCTGCTGAATTTTCGAGCCATTTTCCTTGATCTGCTGCCAATGTGGTTATTTTAGTTGAATGGCTGCAGCAGGCCACAAGGATCACTGCTCAGACACTACGTAAGGCTGTCTGTCTAGACAGTAGGATTGCTGGGTGGGCAAATGAGTTAATCCCTGATTCTGGGAGCAATGTGTTTTCAAACAAGGGAAGGAAATAAACTTTGTAGACAATCTTTCTTTTGACTCTCACTCCATCTTCCAGATTTATTTTCCCCACATTCTTCACATTGCTGCTTGTGTTTCCAATGCTAGGTCCTTGAATGGATTCCCTCCACGCAAAATACAAGTCCAATTTAGACCCCTTCAAATCTGCACATTCACTGCGTTTCCCCACCTTGGCCGTGCAATCTTTAACATCTTTGTCCGGCATTGTAAGCTGTACGTCTGGAATCTTCTATCTGCTCCCAGATTCTCCTTTCCGAGGGCTGTGTTCACACTTTCCTTTTTCCGTGTTGGAAAATGTTCTCTGTTAATGCTCCATTACCAGTTAATGCTCCCCCACCCAGTTATTTTAAATGGGATTGGTTTGGGTTGGGAGGTGGGCATGGAGGAACTGGGGTGGGGGGGGGGGGGTTCCTGATTTTGAAAAGAATGTTATTGGGGGAATTTTGGTTGGCAGAGAGAGACACAGTCACAGGAACTGTGACTGTTAGCGACACAATGATTGTACAAATTACTGAGACTGGCTGTATGCGGGTGAAGAGAAAGGTGTTGCTTTGTGTGCCTGAGACTGCAGATCCGTACAGCCATTGTTTTGTGGTGTTCGAAAATAATGTAATGGTCTATTAATAAATCTGCATCAGCCTCTATCAGTATGGCACTCGCTGGGTATTTCAATGCAGCGCAATTTCTTTGTCTATTTCCCAAGCTCAATCTCTTTCTGGTCCACTGAATGCCAGTGTTCAGACCTGGCATAGCGCAGTGTCTAGCTGGTGCTTGTTTGGAATGATGCCCATTACACTCCTGTGACTGGGGAATTATCTGCTCCCTCACTGATTGCAAAATCCTGTTTCTTTTTTAAAAAAAAAACCAGGATATGGCAATAAGTGTGTATGCTCCTTCTCCTAGTCCATTGTGCTGCTCCCTGTGTTTCTGAGATTTGCGTGATATGGCAAGCCTGTGAGAAATGGTGCCAATTTTTAACCCTGTTCATAGCCCGTCGCTGGGGCCTGTGGTGATCCGTTCATTCACTAAATAAGGCCATTCACTTAATGGGAAATCTGCCCATGGTTTTTGTCTTAAAGTTTTTGGGTTGGAGAAAAGGGACAATGTGTTGTTCATGAATTTGTCATCAGTAAGTTGTTTTTTTTTTTGTTTTAATCAGAATTTGGGAGAAGCTGCTAAACCCAGAGATGACAAAGGGATACCTATGTTTGAGGGCGTATGGGGAGGTGGATGATCAGAGGGAGATGTGATGGAAAGGACAGGATGGGGGGAGAAAGGTGGAAGAAAGGCTCTGCACAGAAGCTAGTCCAGTTCATAAGCAAGCTCGTTCTGTGCTGCAGTGCAGACGAGATGGCCACTTAGCCCATTATCTGTGCTGGCCCTCAAAGAATTCTTCATATCTTCCTATTCTCCCAGTATCTCTACACTCTCCTGCTCCTAATTCCCATCCTGGTACCCTGATTGAAGCTTGTGCCTACTTGACTGGCATTTTCCAGATCTCTGATCAACTTTGTGGCTGTGCAGAGGTATCCAGCCCACAGTCCCTGCCCTGAAACACGCAAACTGCAGAAATCTGAGTCCCATTAGGTCATGGATCTGAAATGTTCCCACTTTCTCTTTCCACTCGCCCTGCTACAGCTGCTTGACTGTTTTTGGCTCTTGATTTTTTGGTTTTTGTTGCAAAATTCTTGGCACAGCTCGTAGCCAGCAGTCTCCTGTCTTGAAGCAACTCTAAACCTGACCTCACAGACACATGCTCCTCACACATATTCCATATGGAATAGATTTGTGAATCCTTATCTTAAATCTACCTTTCTGGGGCTAAAAAGCTCCAGTTTGGAGGGGAGCCTTGGTGTTTTTAATTTGAAACTGGCACAATCTTGTGAATGTTATGAGAATTGGTTTTTTAGAAAAGATTTGGTTGTTACTGAGCTTTGAAACTGGGCTCTCTATCAAATTCAGGGATTTTTCCTGTTGCTACAATTGAACATCTTTTAATCTATTTTAAAGCTGCCAAGGAAAGTGTATATTATTGATCTTAATCTGTCATGCTGTATGAAATAACTGCAGTTTTTTTCCCCTACGAGTCCTGGGGCGTTTTATCCCAAAACGTATCCATGGCATCACTTTGAGTTTGTTTGTGCTGTGGAATTTTGTAAATTGATAATCAGAATAGCTAAACTTGAGGGGCTATCAAAAACTAGGGACCACCCTAATGAATCTAATGTGAAATTGACATGAGATTACCCAGAGAGGGGGCAGAATGTGGTGCTCACGATCGGAGAAAATGTTTGCGGTGAATAGCTTGGATACTTTCAAAGGGGCGGGTGAAATGAGTAGGTGAGAATGTCGGGTTTCCAGCTACAAGCTGTACGAGAGATTCAATTGCAAGGAATGTGTTATAAACACAGGCGCAGATTATTCAGGCCAAATGGCATGCTTTTGTGTTAGACCTTTTGCAAGTGGGCACTCGCTGATGTTTTGCCACATAGTGGCAGTAGATGAGTTTAGGTTATGCTGGGGGAGGAGAAAGGGCACTTTGTCAAGGCTTTTCATTTTGTAATTGTTAGAATGTATGAGAGAAGCCCAGTGTAACACGAGAGTCATATCCTGAGAGAATGATTGGTAATTGGCTCTGGCTACTAGAGATGTTGCAGTGGAGAATGCACCAGTTAACTGATGACTGACAACTAACAGCCAGGCTTTATTTAAATTGAAACTGGGCAGCTTGACTGGCATTGCCCCAAGGAATGAATATACACAGTTTCTTTTCTGTGCACAAGGAAAAATGAGTGATGTAGGTAGACTGTGTGCTAGGTGTCCTGCCCTGGACTGCTCTAACTCCAGTTTCTGCTCTCCTCCACAGTTCTGGGAAGTCATCAGTGACGAACATGGCATTGACCCGACTGGTACCTACCATGGAGACAGTGACCTTCAGCTGGATCGTATTAACGTCTACTACAATGAGGCATCAGGTACTGGCCTGTAGTCTGGTGTGGGGTGGGAAGAGGCATCTTGTTGGGTTCTATGCAGGTGTGGGAGCTGGTACTCCCTCCTTCCGTTCTCCCCCTGCCCTCCAGATCTCCTCCCTTCTCTCTGGAGGTTACTTGTTGGAACCCTGTGGGTCAGAGTTGGGTGGCTAGTTGGCATGTTTTGTATGCAGTGGGCAGAGGAGGAAACTAGGAGCATGGTGCCAATCAGCCAGAAGCTGTTGCCCTGTCTGGCAGTGAGGCATCCCTGTTGGTGTGTGTGAGTGTAAATGGGAGGGTAGAGCAGAGTGTCTGTACATTGGGGAATAGATTCACTCTCCCGTCATGCTCTGTGAAGTTGGGCGTTGGTGTGGAGGTGGCCCAGCTAAGCCCATAGCTGTATTGGGCACCAGTGTTTAACATGTCCATCGAGTGGCCTGTCTGTTGCTGTTATTGTAATGGGATGGTGTGCTGCATCCATCTCCATTATTCTCTCTTTGTCCACCAAGTGGGGAAGGGTACACGTTGCAGTTGAAGGATCTTGCCAAGCGAGCTTGTTTTCTCTCTCTCCCTTCCCAGGAGGTAAATATGTTCCCCGTGCCATCCTGGTGGACCTAGAACCTGGCACCATGGACTCTGTTCGCTCCGGACCATTTGGGCAGATCTTCCGACCGGATAACTTTGTGTTCGGTAAGTGCGGGCTGCTTTGAGGTCTACCCGATTGAGTTGTGCATTTTGAAATGGGGGAGGGTTGGAAATTCCCTCTTATTTCTATTCTGGGAATCTCCACAACTGTGAGATACTGTACCCTCCATCTCGCTGAGGCTGGATCACGCTCAGATTGTGATCCACTCCAGAACCTGCACAGCAAGACTCCGATCCCCACTCGAGTGTGGCGGTAATGGGGTGCCCTTCAAATAAAACCAGGGAGCAGGGCATCCAGTGAGGAGCAGTCTAGCCCTGCCTGGTGCGCTGGGAAAATATCTATTCCTTTGCCAACTTTAATAGGTTATTGGGTAATCCTCATGTTGAAAACTAGGGAGCTAATTGTTAAGGTTCGGGGCAGTGTTTTGTGGATCTTTGGTAAATGGAGCATCAATCTGATACCAGCATTCATCCTGAAACGATAGATTTGATCCAGGTAATAGAGTATCTGTAGACTGATAGGTCCAAATGCTAACCACTGGATTGTATTTTTTTCCCTGATCTGTGCTATAATATTACACCATGGTATTTCGCTACAGTCCGCATTCCTGACTGCTGCCATGGTACAGGGCCGTGCCATCTGATGGGGCGGGTGTATATATTGTTCACCTTCGCACCCCCGAACCCCACCCTTGCCATTTGTGTTTTCCAGGCCAGAGCGGTGCGGGCAACAACTGGGCGAAGGGGCACTACACAGAGGGGGCAGAGCTGGTGGACTCTGTGCTGGATGTGGTGAGGAAGGAGGCGGAGAGCTGTGATTGCCTTCAGGGATTCCAGCTGACCCACTCGCTGGGAGGTGGCACTGGCTCGGGCATGGGCACACTGCTGATCAGCAAGATCCGCGAGGAGTACCCAGACCGCATCATGAACACCTTCAGCGTGGTGCCCTCTCCCAAGGTGTCAGACACGGTGGTGGAACCGTACAACGCTACGCTGTCGGTCCACCAGCTGGTGGAGAACACCGATGAGACCTACTGCATCGACAACGAGGCCCTGTACGACATCTGTTTCCGCACCCTCAAGCTGACCACCCCGACCTACGGGGACCTCAACCATCTGGTCTCGGCCACCATGAGCGGGGTGACCACCTGCCTGCGCTTCCCGGGCCAGCTCAACGCCGACCTGCGCAAGCTGGCGGTCAATATGGTGCCCTTCCCGCGCCTCCATTTCTTCATGCCCGGCTTCGCCCCCCTCACCAGCCGCGGGAGCCAGCAGTACCGGGCCCTGACCGTGCCCGAGCTGACCCAGCAGGTCTTCGACGCCAAGAACATGATGGCGGCCTGCGACCCGCGCCACGGCCGCTACCTGACGGTGGCGGCGGTCTTCAGGGGGCGTATGTCCATGAAGGAGGTGGACGAGCAGATGTTGAACGTGCAGAACAAGAACAGCAGCTACTTCGTGGAGTGGATCCCCAACAACGTCAAGACGGCCGTGTGCGACATCCCGCCACGCGGCCTCAAGATGGCCGTCACCTTCATCGGCAACAGCACCGCCATCCAGGAGCTCTTCAAGCGCATCTCGGAGCAGTTCACCGCCATGTTCCGGCGCAAGGCCTTCCTGCACTGGTACACGGGCGAGGGCATGGACGAGATGGAGTTCACTGAGGCCGAGAGCAACATGAACGACCTGGTCTCTGAGTACCAGCAGTACCAGGACGCCACCGCTGAGGAGGAGGGAGAGTTTGAGGAGGAGATCGAGCAAGACGAGGCCTAAAGGCTAGTCGGCTGCGCCCGCCTTTTTTTTTCTGTGTACATAAAACATCCTTTTTAAAAACAAAACAGCAGGAGAAAAAAAAATTGTGTTTAAAACAGGCGGGGTCCATGGGCCCTCGGGTTCCACAGGACTTGAGTTCAAAGGAAACTTTTTTTGTCCCTTTACCCTCGTTACCCCTCCATTATAATTCCAGCGCCAGATGTATCGTCTCAGTTCCCAAACTAAAGCACCATGGCCCCAGATCCAAAACCACCTCCCCCTCCCCCACCCCCGTCCTATTTTGCATGTTTTAAATCGAAACGGGCCGTGGTTGTCATGAGTGTGGTAGTGTGATAGTTTTGTGTTTTTTTCTTTAAATTTCATTTTGTCGGGAGCAGTTGGTAGGCACACTTGACTGAAGTAGGGGAGGGCGTGGATGAGGGAGGTTGAAACAGGAAGGACCTGAGGAATGTTGGGATGGAGGGAAATTGAAAGGCTGAGGTGAAATTTCACAACGATTATCTCAGTGGTGGGCCTACCAGTCTGGGTGAGTGGGTGGAGATTTGGAGAGGGTCAGATGATGGGAATTAGCAGTAGCTGGGTTGAAATCTGGTTCAGGTGCCCTTGTGCTGCGGTGGTAGTGCCTCTACCTCTGAGCCAGGAGGCCTGGATTCAAGTCCTGCCTGCTCCATAGGTGTGTAATAACGTCCCCTGAACTGGTGGATTAGAAAATTTGTGTATTTGAAACCTTGCTCCTGATTTTTGGTATTGCTGTGCAGTCCAGCAGTCACTGACGTTCCACTATTTTAATGGAATCCAATTTCATGCATGTTGGCAGAGATCAAATATCATTCCAGTCGTTTGTTCAGTTGGCCCAAAGATCTCGTTTGATCCCCAAAAGAGAGGGCCTTCACAACACATCTATTACTTCGAAAACATGGAGGTGGTTGGAAATGGATCTGTGCTAGTGGAGAAACATTGATAATAGGGATCTCCCTTTTAAATATCGGGAGAGTAAGCTTCCCAAATACATGGGATCTCACAGCTTTATTTGTAGGAGTAGCGTCGTAGTCCGAAACCAGGTTTGGAGGTCCGTAAGCCCATTTCTTGATTGGTCAAATTGTTCTGACAGGGCACTGGTGGTTTGTTTCTGTTGATGGGTTTGAAGTTCGCTGGCCTGCTCTCTAGCACCTCACTGTCCAGTGTGTAGAAGGTAGAGGATCTGCTTTGTGTGTACTGTTGGGGCTGTGGCAATGTCCACTGCATGCCCTTCACCCACTTTGGTCTGGGGCTACCTCTCATCTCTTACTTAGTGGGGCCAGGGCTCCAAGAGTGACCTTGTGCAAGGGTTTGGGCCACACTGTGGTTGGTTCTAGATCTATCAGCCAGCTAGGCAATGGCTAGTGCCAACTGATGCCCAGTGATGCTGAACTGCAAAACAAGAATATACACAATAATTTGGCGCAAGGGTCTCAAAAACGATACCTTTGATTTCAAAATCCCGAAAATCCTCCATCTTTGTTCATATACCTGAAGGAATTGTCCATGCTGTACAGGAAGAAAAAACTGCTTTTCTCTCTTACCAACTTTCGTGTGAGATTGTTGAACCTGTGATGTAAATTTTGTCTGTTTTTAGATGTGTCCTACTTTTCAACTGCTTGTTCAAACTCTGGTTGAGTTCGTATTGTCTGAATACAATCCTCCTTCTCTACCTGTCTACGTGCCCTGTTTGGGGGATTTTTCCCACCAATAAACCCTCTTACTTTTTGGGTCTGTAATCGTCAGAATAGCTGAGCCAGCAGTGTGGCTGGAGGATGAGTTAATTCCACACTGCCGATCTCTTCCCAGCTGAGGAACTTTTTTTTTGAGAGGGGAAGCAGAATTTGCTGTAAAGTTACACTGTGCTCAACTTGTCACTAGTTGCTAACAGGAAGGGTATTCCTGATGGCTGAGGGGGTGGTGTGAGACTGTGTTCTTTTACCTGTTGAGCCTTGGATGAACCTTTTTTGAAGGATTGTGACCTAGATGTTCTTTGATTGTTTTCCATGCTGCTGCTTACTGAGTTGTCACCCAGTCTTTCAATTTTTCCTAACTTTTGTTTGCATTTTGCTGCTGTCAATGTCCTGTTACTGTTTTTATGAATTGCACCCTTCTGTTCTCTTTGTTTTTTTGTTTTTTCATATTGAAAAGTATAAAGCCGGCCTGTTTCTTAACTGACAAATAAAACAAGTTTTCTTTGCGATATATTGCTGTCTTTGTTCTTTTTTTTTGGTCGCCTCCGTTTCTGCAGGGTGAAGCCTAATGCACAGATCCAGATGCTGGGAAACTGTAGCCTGTTCGAGGCTCACCACCTCTGAACGTTTTGACGATGGATTATAATTCCAAATCCCGCTCCTGACCGGAAAGCCGCCATCTTTAGACATACAAACTAGGAGCATTTGGTCCTTCAACTCAAGATCGTAATTCTGGTTTCCTCATAACCCTTCGTGCCTTTAAATCCAAAAAATTGAATTTCTCTTTTTTGTGAACATATTCAGTAGAAGGGTCTAGGCCCAAAACGTCAGCTTTCCTGCTCCTCTGATGCTGCTTGGCCTGCTGTGTTCATCCAGCTTTACACCTTGTTATCTCAGCCTTTTGTTATAGTGAATTCCACAGGCTCTCAACCTTCAGTGAAGAAATCTTTCCCCCATCTCTGCTATGGACTAGACCAAACCACCCCCCAAAGTATTCAGAAGGTAGTCTGGACCGTAACTTTTACATTATTGTAAATGTGAGATATTGCATTCCAGATGCAATTTGATTGGTCAAACTATCAGATTGAGAGCAAAACACACTATTTGTCCAATACAGTTAGAATATAACAAAAGAAGGATTTAGAATACCAACTCTATTGGAAAACAGATACATTTAACTATTACTAACTAACAACATCCTGTAAACACACCTATTAGCAAAAGGCAAATTCAGAAAACTGTTTCACATGCAACTCTAGTCCAGGAGGGGGGGAAAAAAATGCAACAATAGAAAATTCTGTGTGTAGCAGATGGGAGAAGTTTACTGCAGCTTTCAACCCTGCTGAGACCCCAGCCATAACTGCAGAAAGCTGAAACTAGACTCCCTAGTTCTGTGGGAGCTTGACCCCACCCGTTCAGGCTGCTTCTATTGTTCCAATTCTTTTTTAAAAAAAAAAAAACAGGCCTTACAAGGTATTTACTTGAGTGGCTCTGGTAAACTGCTCAGAACATCTGCCTTAAAACCTCTTTAAACCCAGGACAAAATGCACCTCTTAAAACCACAGCATTATTACATATGTGGTCTTCCCCTATCTCAGTGCTGCCCCTGCCTGCTGGTTCAGGGGGAAACATCCCCCTGCATCTAGTTTGTCTAGCCCTGTTAGGATCTTTATACATTTCAATCTACTTCCCCCTCTTATCTGCCTAAACTGTAGTGAATACAGGTCTGAAGAAGGGTCTAGGCCCGAAACGTCAGTCTTCCTGCTCCTCTGCTGCTTGGCCTGCTGTGTTCATCCAGCTCTACACCTTGTTATCCCTTGAATACAGGCCCTGTTGATCTAGCTTCTCCCTGTACAATAGTGCTGATGTCCCTACCATTGTGTCAGTGAACCCTGAACCATCCTTTATACCTATATGTCCTCTACCTGTATTGTGGTATGTTACATGTGTCGTTGATCCTGAGGTTTTTCTGCTTGAAGGGAAAGCTAGTTTGTTAGTTTAACAGGCTCTTGTTCCGAGAATCACGTTGTACCTCGTTGGACATTTTTATTTCTGAATGTTTGCCTTGGTGGTGGAAACCAGGAATTTAAACAGGTTTGGATCATCTTCAGTTGGACCCAGCTTAGCTGGAGGAAGCATCCCATCACTAAGTCTGATACAGCCTCTGCACACTTGCTCCTTCCTCTCCCTCACAAATGGAGACAGTTTGCCAGTGGTGCCCAAGCTCAGTTCTGTAAATTGTTCTAAAGGACTTGTACTGAATTAGCTGTTCAGTTAGGGAAACTGCTGCAATGAGCTGTGGCTGCTTTCAGCTTCCATTCCTGATATCAGGTGAAACCAGTTACGGTTAGCCTTGTTGTAGCATAGGAGTCCATTCAGCCCATTGAGCCAGTGCTCTAAGAATCATTTGGCCAATCCCAGTCTGCTACCTTCTCCCTCTAGCCCTGTGCCTAATTCCAATGGCCTGGCAAAAACCTCCTGTCACCGCGTTCCCGGGCAGTCTGTTCCATTCCAAGCTAAAATCACTCACATATTATTGCCTTCTGTCATTTTGCAAATGGGTGTCTTCTGCTTATTGATCTTTGAACAGACAGGCATGATTTTGAATATTTAATGAATCTTCCCTCAGGAGAAGCCCAGCTTTTACAAGCCGTCCTGCATTCTTAAACTCCCTCATACCTCGAGTCACTTGGAAATCCTTGGCTGTGGGATGCAGAGTTGGAAGCAACTTTGCTGAGGGCCAAAGTTTTGATTTTTTTCCAGCATGGTGAAGCCCCTGCCAGGCTTATAATCAATCTCGGGGCGCGGAGGGGAAGCTGGCTCACTCTCCTGACTAACCCAAACCTCTGACCTTTGTAGACGCAACCTGGCCTTGCCATCAGTCTTGCAAGTTTGTCGCTGTTGGAGGAGGTGATGGTTCAGTGGCATTATTGCTAGACTATTAATCCAGTGACCCAGGTCGTGTTCTGTCGACCTGGGTTTGAATCCTGCCATGGTAGGATTAAAAATTTAGAATTAACGAGTCTTAACAATGACCATGGAGCTATTGTCTGGGGAACAGCCCATCTGGCTCACTAACTGCAGTGCTTAAATGTGGCTCAGTGGTTAGCACTGCTGCCTCACAGCGCCAGGGACCCAGGTTTGATTCCACGCTCGGGTGACTATCTGTGTGGAGTTTGCACGTTCTCCCTGTGTCTGTGTGGGTTTTCTCCCACATTCTAAAGATGTGCAGGCTAGGTGGATTGGCCACGGTAAATTGCTCATAGTGTTCAGGGATGTGTAGATGAGGTGAGTTATGGGGGGATGGTTCTGGGTGAGATGCTCTGAGGGTCAGTGTGGACTTGTTGGGCCAAAGGGCCTATTTCCACACCATAGGGATTCTATGATCTAAACGTGACTCCAGACCCACGATAATACAGTTGATCGTTATTAATGTAAGATTACCCTGAGAGTGGTTAGTGTGGTGTGCTTCCAATAGTCCCAAATTTAAGAGCGTAGCCCTGTTATTTGAGACTGGTCAAACATGAAAATCCAAATAGCACAACAATTCTGGGTGATATCTCGAGAGTTTAGACAAATGGGAAGACATCTTACTGAAGCATATAAGGTGCTGAGGGGTCCTGGCCAAGGTAACTGCTGAAAAGGATATTTCCAATTGTCAGAGAGACTGAGAATTCTTAAAAATAAGAGGTCTTCCACTCAAGGTGAGAAGATTTTTTTATCTCTGGATTGTGGGTGTACAGCACTGTTTTCCCCAGAGAATGACTGTGACAGAGGTGGATACGTCTTTGCGGATAAAGAGGTTAAAGGTTAGCGGGGAGGCTAGGTAATAGGATTGGCTCCCAACATGCAGATTGGCCATGATCCTATGAAATGGCAAAGCAGGCTCCAAAGGCCAAAAAATCTATTCCTGCTCCCATATTTAATTTTTGTAGGATGTTTCCACTTTCAGGGGAGACCAGAACCCGGGAGGCTATAATTGTAAGTGATTAAAAAATCCAAATAGTTTTCTCGCTCAGAGAGTATTGTGTGAGGGTCTGAAAGGGTTAATACTGAGGAATGCAGTAAGCAGCACCCACTGTGATAATGTCAGGTGGACCTGGTGGGAGAGCGGTTTGGGATCTGGGAACGAGTGGCCTCTGACATTCTCACAGGCTCTGACCCAATATCACATAGCACAGGGAGCCTTGCCCATAGCTTGCTGACACACACGCACTAAACTCTACCTCCTTAAGGACAAGAGCCTTTTCCCATTGGACCAGCAAGTGATTCTCCTCAAGCAATCCAGGCCAACGGGCCACGCAGATCCTGCCCTAAAGGAGGATAGTGGCTGCAATCTATAAAAGTATAAGATATCGGAGCAGAATTAGGCCATTTGGCCCATCAGTCTGCTCCACCATTCAATTGTGGCTCATAGGTTTCGCAACCTCATTCCCCTGCCTTCTCCCTGTAACCCTCGATCACCTTCCTGATCAAGAACCTTTTGATCTCTGTCTTAAACACACTCAGTGTCTTGGCCTCTGCAGCAATGAGCTCCACAGATTCACCACCCTCTGGCTGAAGAAATCACTCCTCATCTTAGTTCCAAAGGGTTGTCCCTTCACTCTGAGGCTGCGCCCTCAGGTCTTGGTCTCTCCTACTGGTGGAAACATCTTTTCCACGTCCACTTTATCCAGGCTTCTCAGTATTCTGTAAGTTTCAGGCAGATTCCCCCCTCATCCTTCTACACTCCATTGAATACAGGCCACTCCTCAATCCTACCACATGGTGATCAACTAAGTAGACAGCCCCCTATAACATGGTGGTCCGCGGTAAGGAGTGTTTGCATGACAGATATCCATGGGACCCTGAACTCACCACCACAATGAGCCGCTAAGATAAAGATGGGACTAATGGGATTGGTTTGGAGTGAGCTAGCATAGGGTCATTAGGCCATATTGTCTCTTTCTGTGTCTCGTTTAAGGCGATGTTAATTAAAGACATGAACGAGAAAGAAACGGGTAAAGGAATATGTTGATTGAGGGAGATGCAGAGAATTGGGAGGATGTTTGTGTGGAGTGTAAGGACCAGCTGGGCTGAATGGCCTGCTTCAATACTGGTACAACCTATGTATCTTCAGAAGCTAGAGTAAATGTGCATGCACCTTAGTTACACTGGTCAGTCCGTTGTCTGGGTGCCTCAGATTGATGTCTCATGTACAATGTTCAGGCTTCCCTAGCTCCATGTTGCCTGACCCGACTCTGCCTTTGCTGGGTCCTCTGCAGGAAGTTACTGAAACCTTTCCAATCTGTGCCACATTCCCCCGTGGTCTTTTAGCATTCACTTGCCTTTCCCCGGATAGTTTTTCTCATTACTCCCAGGCTAACATGCCAGCTATTACTTCCTGCCGCACTCCCACATGAAGACACCATCGATCCCGGTCCTCTATGTGGAGCTAGCTTTATGGTGGAGGATGGACAAAGTGTTGTTTAGCATTCCCTCTTTATTTCAATCTGTTCCATCCAGCTGGCT